TATAAGATATCTATGGGCTCACAGGCCAAATGACGTAATTATCGAAAGGGTGCATGTATTGAGTAAGTGTAACAGGGCCACAGGATTCTGTTGTTGGCCACAAATACAATCATGACTTACAAACGGTAATACTTAGATATATTCTGTACATGCAGCTATTATATTTTATAGCCATATATTATTATATAAATCATTTATGTGTTATTCTTGTCCAACCATAATTGTAACTTATCGTTAATATTTCTCAGCTGCCTCTCTGTAGATAGATAACCGCTGCCTTCACATAGCAATGATGGCAGGCTCTCGTCTCCACGATATTCCTAGAAACAGTAGGGGAATGGATATATAGGTCATTTCTGAATAAGTCCAATGCCCCCCAGCCTATTAGCCGAGAAGCTTCACGCTAGATTGTAACATGCTAAATTATTTGTTTGGTGTTGTTCTTGGCAATTAGAGCGTCTATTATACGAAGGTGGCAGCTCAACCGGATCGAGTCGAAGGCGTACTATAAGGGCGCCTCTGGCTGTCACCTTATGAGCTTTTTCACACACCACTATTAGATCGACCTGAGATCGATCTAAAGTCAAGCGAACTTAATGTGAACAGTCGAAAACATTGAAGATCGATCTTGGATTGAATGCTCGCATGAAGAGATGATCTCAGAACGATCTGAAGTGTGAACGCGAATGGGATGAGATCGATACGTACAGTAGATTGATTGTGTATTACCCACCAAAGCGTATACAGTTCAGTGCGGACACGATGGCTCTAGCCATTACAATGATGTAAATGTCTGCATGTGGGTAATGTGTAACTTGTCATCCATGTACTCAGTAGTAACACAACAAAATAGCGAGCTCGGTCTCGTACAAATCTCAGACAATTTTCTGTCAAGTATGAAGGCCCTTTATTTTTCAATATACTCTGAACCAAGACATCTGTGATGCCCACTCTATTTATTCCTTTTTATCAAAACTGAAAAGACAACTATTTTCTTGGGGTTTTTTTCTTCAATATTTTTCAATAAACTTTCAGGTTTAATATCCTTTCAATGTTCTTGTAAATTGCCGCTCATGATCTCCACATTGTTTTAACTTGTAATATATCTATAGATATGTAACCTAAGCCAGCCCATTCACATATAAGCATCTGGTTTCTTAATGGTGCAATGAAATACAACTTTTTACCTCTCCACTGTTATGATCTGGATCGCTTTTTCTCAAGTCATCTTGAAATTGTTCAAACTCAGTAAGAAAATTGTACGCCTCTTCCTTGCTCTAAAATTAAATTAATGAAGATTATGAAAATGCTGTAAACGGCATTCTGTTTACAGTAGGCCTTTTAACAATTATACTATTTTTTGCTAATTTATATTTTCAAACTATACGCTGCTCATGCAGTACTATAAATATAGAACAAAAAAATGTTCGTCCCAGTCAGATAGGATTAAACTTTCATATGGAAAATTCAGTTGGTTAGAGCGCTGAACCGGAACCGCAGGGCCGCAGGTTCAATTCCTGTCAGGGACCTAAAGTTATTTCGAGTGTTAAACATGATATCTTAATCAGGACAGTCTTTGAAAAGCGATAATTTTCACGTGTGAAATTAATCATAATATTAAATACAGTAATCTCACATGTGATATTATCAGTTTTATCAGTGCTCAAAATCTCTATAAAGAACTATAAAATGTAATAAAAATTACATAAAATAATAAATGTATATAAATTCCCACTCGACAATGGACCTTTCCCCTTATATAACTAAAATTTTGATCTAGACAAATATAGACAAAAAATTCATCACAGCTTGAAAGAGCATCACAACATTACGCATCACAACGTTGCGAAATGTTGTAAAATGCGGATAATATAGCCCTGCGAAATTTACAATTTCCAGTCATTTTGTATTATAAACGGGAAATTGATGCCCCAAGACCCGATTGGGCTGTCAATTTTCCGTGCGTATATACAAAATGACTGAAAAACGGCAAAATTCGCAAGGCTATATTATCCGCATTTTACAACATTTCGCAACGAAACTCTGGAATATTACTAATTTTGTGATGCTCTTTCAAGCTGTGATGAAATTTTTATCTAGATCAAAATTTTAGTTATAAGGGGAAAGGTCCATTTCCATCTACAATATATACCATGCATCAAATATTATTCCTTCAAGTGAGATGCCACAAAAATCTTCATATTTATAATATAAAATATTAATCGAATTATATCTTCCCCCTACCAACCTTAATTCGTCTCTCTATTGTGTTACATTCAGATTTCAGCTTGTTGAGCTTTGCCTCCCCTCTATAAATAATAGATGATCTTTTGATCAGAAAATTTCATAATAATTACTGCATAATAACTGACGAGAGCAGGCTTCGCCCTGACAAAAAACCAAGGCGCTTGATAAAAAGAACTCCTCAGTGAATCGAGGCATTTTTTACGCGTTTTCCACTAAAACAAGAGTCAATGACACATGTTTGCATGCTTTATGTACTTTTATTACATGGCTGCTTGTCTCATTTGGACAACAATGAGTTGCCATCTGAGAAATATGACCATGCATGCAAAACAATTATTAATATTACTCTTTTCTTTTATCTTGGATGTCCAGGAGTTCTTGTCTCATTCTCTTGATTCTAGAATTTGTCTAAAAAACCCGTGGAGATATTGTGTTTAGCATATTACATTAGATTTGAAATTTGATGGTATACTGCATGTACTAAACCCTTATGGCAGGGTCCTTTTCCTTAAACTGAAGCGATTTATTGATTGCATGCCTCTGCATGCCTTTTGCACCTCTTCTCAGAGTGATGACATTTTTGCGAAGAAAATTAGAAAATTTCGGAATTCTAAATCTTCATTCCACAAAAAATCGACCTTAGCTGCATGTTAGACTGTTAGTTAGTCTGCGTATAGCATACAGTATGTTGCACATGCAATCACCTTTGTCGTTGCAGACTGTAAATATTTCTTTTCTTTATAAATATCAATCTGAAAAAGAATAGAATCAGTTCTGAAACGTCTTTAACCTAAACCTAGTAGCCTGGAGGCGAGAATGGCTGTATGACTCAGGCAGATCCTGCCCCAATAGCTTTTGAATTTGGCTAAATAGCTATCTTAGCCTTATATGTTTAGACTATTGTACATGTGCATGTTTTTTAGAGTTGATAGCCATTTATTTTATGCTTAGATGATAGCTACAGTAGCTCCACTTCCTTCACATGGTTTTAGAGTTCACCACAATTCTTAATTCAATGTTTTGAAAGTACATATTTTGACAGTTAAGTTGGAGCTAGCCCAGGGTGTCCACCCTTTGGTGAAGGTGGAATTCAAGAACTTTTCCAGGACTTTCAAGGCCCTATTCTAGTAAATTCAAGGACCTAGAACTGGGAAAAATCTTTGAAAATGGCACGGATTTGGCGATTTGCCCAGCAAATGATTCATCTTATCCAGTAATTTTAATCAAAATCACTAACGGTTGGCACAGCTGGAGGTTAAGGAAATTAATTCCAGGACTTTCAAGGACTTCTACTGATTTTCAAGAACTTTCCAGTCCTGGAATTTGGACTCCCTGGACACCCTGCTAGCCCCTTAAGCTACGGATACACGGGAAATACTTTTCTGGCGATGGCAATGCAATGGTGGTAAAATCGTTGCATTGCCGTCGCGAGAAAGAAATTGCTTGTGTATCATGCTCTGCGACGGCAACGCAAAGTTGCGCGCAATCGTTGCCGAAATTTCAAATCATTTGATTTTCGGCAATGATTGCCGAAAATTGGGAGGTGTGGTCAAGGAAGGTCAAGGTTGATGAATGACACGTTTCTTGACCAGCCAATGAAAAGCGTTATAAAGACGTATATTGCAGGTGAAATATTGCAGGTGTAGCCACCTTGTGCGACGGCAACGCAATGCTGTTATCACCCATTGCGTAACCATCGCAGCAAAAATATTGCTCGTGTATCCGAAGCTTAAGACCACGTAAGTAGCGCGTTCCATGGCTTCCTAATTTCTGCAGCATGCGAGAAGGCGCTGAAGCCATGAGAGAAGACGCTTAGAGAGACGGCTAAGAAAATATACAGGTATGTAATCGAGGTATCCAGCATATGAAAAACTTGTGTTTAATACACAGTGCATGCATGACAGTAACGCTACATACCGTATCACTGAATATTTGTCGAATTTGGATGAACGCTTCTCTAACCAATTTTTTGTTCACTGCTGAATCTGTTTTACACCTTTAATGTTAAGAAAATCATCATGCGTTAATCATACACGGTTTAAAATTAGTCACTACAGATGATAAGTTAACTTGGAACAGTAGAAAAACCCCGGTCAAACAGGGGCGTACTGTTAGTAACAAGATTTTGAAACAAGAGTTTGTACAGTACAGTATATTAAACTTACATTTTAACGTAGTATATCAATATTCAAGTAGTTATTTAAATTAGTTTAGATTTTATTGTAAAATTTCGAGTACTTCAGTGGTTTATCACTGCAAATCGATTTCAAATGAATCGTATACATACTTTATCTCCAGTGCAACTTCCTCAATGTTCGTCAACACAATGTCTAAATCAGTGACGTCTGTAGCACCACCCTTTCTTCCACGATCAGCATTGAACAGACGCACGAAATTTTGAGCTGAAATATAAAATACGAAACTACTCAGTCCACCAATATGGTAACCATGCTATTTACAGCAGACAGTAGTAGAAAGTTAGGCTTAGTACATACAGTAAAATCCCGCATATAAGAACCTAGATTTTCCTAGAACCTATAATGGTGCTTACCAGGAAATTAGGCTAAACAGGTTCTTAAATACTGTAGGTTCTTATTTTCTTAAGAGAAAAGCGACTCATTTTAGGGAGGTATGTAATATATGATTTATTTAAATTATGCACAAATGATCTAAAAAATGACAGTATTATATATACCAACTCTATATCCACTTTAAAGCTAAACTGATTGTAACTTATGACTTAATTTTGACTTTATTTGATAATATAAGAATCTGTTTTGAAATTCTAGCCTGAACAGGTTCTTATTTAAAGCGGGTCTAAATAAAATATTTTAGCCTACAAACGTTAGTCAAAATGGAACTGGTATTTGCCCAAAGTTGGTCAAAATGGAACTGACATTTGCTTAAAATTGAAGGTAAAACTCGGAAAAATTTGGTCGAAGTTTGGGATAAAAGATGGTCGAAGTTGCTCAAAGTTATGAAATGGTTGGCAATTTTAACAATTTTAAAGCTTTTGTTATGTTTGAGGTGAAAAAATTGGAAGCCTTGCTTATCTTGGTCGAAAATTTTTTAATATTCTCATGTTAGTCCGGAAAAATTTTTTGAGTTAGTTATATAAGGTGCAACCTGTTTGTTTCAAAGTTGATATAATATTAAACAAATGTTTGTGCCATCTGTGCTTGCCATAATTCACGTAGAATATCATTCTCATGCATGCATGAGCATTTATAAAAAAAACGAAAACACGACCTACCCTACCTGAATTTTTTGCAACAACAAATAGAAAACCAAGTGTATTTTCGGCCTTAGAGGGCTGCACAAGAATCGCAGTTCGTTTTTTTAAATTACTGTATGACTGACAGTGTACCATCGTCAAAGTTCGCCCGCTCGTTACTATACTATAAAGAGTAGTCCAAACCTCCCCAAAGGTCTCCTCAAAATTCGGCCATGCGTTCATGTACTTCTACAACAACAATACCTTCATATTCTTCCTCGTCAAAACGAGGTTTCTTATTCTCCTTCGCTCTTCGATCAAACACAACTCGTTTCCTTGTAGCGACAGAACGGGGTTGTTTACTTTGCAGTCCAGATTTCAAACCAACACTTTGCGGTGGAGACTGGAAAAAGAAGCAAACCTTATTGAACCAGGGACTAAGCGGTCGGGCTCAGGCCGAGGTCCGGTGAAATTTGGGGGTCCGGAATTACTGGAAGGATTAGGATGACAGATTCAGACTATTTTCTCTTGCTGAAAATTCACCTGGCTTCTGAACCATTCCTGGAACACGATTGGGCCCTTCTTAAGTGTAGCTAGTCCGGTCACCAATTTGAAAATATGACATGGCGGCGTGTTTCAGGAAATTTTCGTTCAGAAAAGCAAACTGAACGACACACAATGCTCCATGTGACAGATCGTTCTCGAAACTGAAATTAGTTAAGACAAGCAGGACAGGGGTATTTTAGGTTTTGGGATTCGGTGGGAGCTCCCTCCAAATTTCAGGGGTTTTTTTTATATTTCCTACGCTCGCCTATTTCCAAGTGAGTACCCATTTTTATACTCAAGATCATATGCCTTACTACTTACCAATTTAATATTAATATTAATAATGATATTCATATTCCATTTAGGGGGGAATGCTTCCCCCCCCCCCAGAATTTAGCTATTTTCAGATTTGGGGGGAAATTCCCCCCCCCCCAGGGTCTTAGCTAGGACTTTATATCTTGAGCGTGTTTCTAAATGACCAGGGTGTGCACATGTCAATTACCCCAAATAGCCAAATTCACGGTTCTAGTTATGCTCGCCAACAACAGACAATACCTGTGGTTGTTCTATGCTTTGCAAGTTATTTCAGCAACTCTTGGGGGCATTTAAAACCATTTTAACACCATACAGTTCCCATTATCCATCAAAACATTAAAACATCAGTCATCACAGATATCACTTTTGCCAATTTCAACAACAACCGTCGATTTTACAAACTTTCTTACGACGTACAGTAAATAGGAAGAAATTGTGTCTGCTATTTTATGAACCTAAACACGGCCTTATAAAAATAATGAAACCGCGTTCATTTTATCTAGCCGTGTTTTTCCCTTTTTGGCCGCGATAACACCGCCAACACGGCCCTCTAGCTAAGACCCTGCCGCCCCCGCAAAACACCCCTGGACAGGTTAAGATCCTCGCTAACACAGAAAAATCTGAAATCGTTGATGATTATGGTTTTTTAAAAAAGCTATTGCATAAGGAACAGTGCAGCTAAAAAACTCAGCTCTTTACTTTTATTATAAATGGCGGATCTGCATAATTATGTGGTGTGATCTTTAGCCGCAGTTTGTTTAAAGTCCTTATTTTAGATAATAAGAAATTTTTTACAAGTGTTTCAAAATTAAGTACAAATAGTATATGGTAGGAATTTCACAAAGTTGGGTTCCTTATTAATCTGTTTTAATCAAATTAATTGAGAAACATTTTTTCTCTCATTAAAGCAGGCGGGAGATTTACGTTTCGATATATTTTTATTACCTTATTCCTTAGTGGCGTCTTTTCTTCAAATATGTTCAAATCATCATCACTATCGTCTTCATCATCTCTGTCATGATTGTCTTGCTGTTTTCCTGTACAGATTCAAGTGCATGATAATTGTATAAATATATACACTTAATGCCTGCTTCAGAGGGAAATAATTAACACTATTAACTGGAACGAGGGAACAGGGTTCGTACTGGTCAGGAAGAGTTAAATTCAAGGACTTTTCAAGGAGTTTCAAGGCCATGTATCAGGAAATTCAAGGCGTAAAGGGCTGAAAAGAAGGTGTTAGGAACCAGTAACGAGTGACGTTAAACTGTTCAAATGCCAACTTTAATGAAACAGGTTCAGGTTGGGTAAAACAATTTTTGAATTTTTAAAGATCATGTAAAGTCCGTAATGTAAACAAACGCTTTGTTTACATTTTGAACTCAGTGCTACAGTTGAAATATGATTAGATATATATTATACTGAATTTTTAACACTCTTCTGGTTCGCTATGCTTGAAAAGGAATACAGACTAGAGATTCGATTCAAGAAAGTTCAAAAGATACGAAATATTAATAACATTCCAACGGTCGGGTCCTGACCATTGGAATGTAAGCCTGCGCAGAACGGACTTTACATTGGTCTTTAATGGTTGGATCAGCAAGATTTTTAACTGCCTAAAATAATCCCTGTTCATTGGAGTGCCAGATAAGTGAAATGAGGAACTTACTGGATGATGATTTCTTTAAGGTATTATCAAGGACAGTTTTTGAAACACTTTCTTTGCCGCCTGGTAAGCTATCCTCTACATTGGCATGCTGAGGTAACTCATTCTTCACTGGACTGTCATCCACTGCCATAGGACGTACGTCATCAAACTCTGCGGCTGCATCATGGAATATGTCTGACGAAGGCTCCGCGCCAACAACATTATTCTTCTCTGAAGTAGCAGGTGGTGGGGCATCTGAAACAGAAATCCCCAACTTTGTCACAAGGAGTAAATTGTCCAGGGATGGATTTGTTGGGGGATGCGGGTGCAGGAGGGTGTACCCCTTCTGGGAGTGCACACCCCTACTAGCTTTAGCAAACAGGGGAGGAGCCACGAGGGTGCAAGGGGGGCATTTTCCTTACCAAATGCTTTTTGGATTTGGAAATAATAAATAATAAAAACTTTATTTCAGTGTCCAGGTTATTTAACTTTTACAGCTAATTGGTGACACTATATATCTAAAAATTTACAATAAATTATAATATGTATATGTATATATTATAGACTATATAAATACTGTATGAAAAAGATAAGTGTATCTGTTGACTCAAGGCAATTACAGACAAATAAAGGCAATTATTTATTTGTTTATAAAACTTTGCTATGAAAAAGATAAGTGTATCTGCTCACTCAAGGCAATTACAGGCAAATAAAAGCAATTATTTATTTATTTATTTATTAAACTTTGCCAACACAAACGTGCACACAAACATGACATTACAACAGCAGAACATGTACGTCACTGAATCTAACAACGAATATAGTGGGGACACCACAACACTGAGTATGATACGATTGTGAAAATACGATTGTGGTTGTATTTCACAATGATACGATTGTCAGTGACATTTTGTTTGGATTTAAGCTTCTCAGGAGGGCACACTCCAATCTAGCACTATTTCAGTGTGCTGTACTGCTGTTTTTAAATCATTATAATGAATCTGTGTATAAGTATATGGTGATTATGGCTTGAGGAAAAATTTCCTCCATCCTGGGGATTTCTCTCGGTGACCCTACCATGACAGCATGTACATACCATCGTCATCAGATACAGAAGGAATGTGAACATCACCATCCCCGTCACCATCATCAGACATCGGCTGAATATCTTGAAAACCCAGTGGTTCATGAGAGAGTTCGAGTGATTTGTGTTCAGCGTCAGTCCTAATATAACATGCACAAAAATCATAATTATTTTAAGCTATGCATCACTAGTAGTAGTCTAGTATGCCAATGAAAATTGCTGCATACTTTGCTGGACGGTACAAAAATCAAAGTGTACTTATAGTCTATTAGTGTCAATAATCTAGTGTGCCAGTGTAGGTAGTGCCAAACTGCCAATAATATGAACAAGATTTCGTTGGTAGGGGTGCAACTACTTGAAAAATACAAGGAGAATTTCAACGAAAGCTTGTTTATACTTAGTCTTTAACCCATTGAGTTGCATTGCACCCGAACATGCCCTACTTTATCATTTTACTTGATCTAACACCTGACAATTTTACTTAATTAATGTCTTCTCCCTTTAAGTAAAATCGTCTAATAATAATAATAATATATAATATTTATACAGGAAGCCCAAGCCTGAAAATAAATTTCCAACGGTGCCTGACAAAGTGTCAGGTATCAACTGATTGGTGCCTGACACTGGACATTTTGTGCCTGACAAAAATATTAATGCAACAGAGCAACTATAGTTTTTAGTGGTCCTTGAAATAAAAGAAGCCAATGAAAAGCTTAGTCACAACAATTTTAAAGCCACTATAGCTAGTCAATTATATCATATGGAATATAAAACGGAACATAAATTTCACAGCATTTCACAGGCATATTGTCTTAATATTCATACGCGATGAAATTTGAATTCACATAATTCAGATATCATATATCATGTTGACGAGACAACACGCTTTGAAACACAGCTCACAAAAAATGTCGAAATCTACCCTAAATGCATCAACTGAAAAGGCAAAAACGAGATCATCCGAAGTTTATGATACTCCAAACGAATCAGAAGTAAAAAATGGGAATCAAAGCCATGAAATAAAGCGCATCGACCAAATCTACGATATGGTGAAATCCATGATGGCGAAATTAGACACGCTAGACGAGATAAAAGAACGCATTCTTTGCGTCGAGAGAGATATGGGGCACATGAAGGACTCAATCGAATTTGCCCATGCAGAATTACGGGAATTAAAGGAAGAAGCCGATAAGTCCAAAAGAACCAACGATCTTAACGCACAGAAACTATGCGAGCTAGAAGATTCAAACCGTCGTCTACAAGAGAGCGTCATTGATCTCAAAGCACGATCCATGCGGAATAACTTGCTTTTCTTCAATGTCAACGAAGACGAGAGAGAAAACACGACGGAGAAGATTTACGAAATCTTAGAAAGAAATCTAGAGATTCCCAATGCCAGAGACACAATAAAAATTGATCGTTCTCACCGAATCGGAAGGAAACGCGAGGGCCAACGCAAGCCTAGAGCAATAGTTGTCAAATTTAACTTTCACCAAGATCGAGAGCGAATACGATTACGCCAGAAAGCTCAGGGGAACGCGTATTGGAATCGCGGAGCAGTTTCCCGAAGAAATTGAGAAGATTCGCCAAACCTTATACCCTGAGTTAAAGAAGGCTAAAGCGCAAGGACACAGAGTGCGTATGGTACGGGATAAATTATATATAAACAATGTTGAGTTCAAACCTTCAACTCATAATTAACATTACCATCTTTTCCTATTTTAACATATATAAATAGACGCTATGGCTACTCCAAAATTAGGTAAGAAATATTGTTCTTCTTGTTTCCTTAAAATAAGTATGGATCAAAAAAGCATTAATTGTCTGACATGCGGGGGATGGTTTCATGCTCGCACCGCATGCATGAAATCACCTGTCACATGTCAACAAACGGAAATCGATATGTGCAACATGTGCCTAAGCTGTTCGCTTCCTTTTCACTCAATTGATGATTTAGAATTCCATTTTATTTTTGGCGATTTCAGTCGAGTTCCAAGTGATGAGTTTATGGATAGATTAACGCAACTCAAGTTTAATCCTTTTCACATTAATAATAATAACATTGCAAACGCTCAACACTTTGAGAATTATATGCCGGAAAATCTTGACGATTTGACATGCAATTATTACCTACCAAACGACTTTGCTATGAGTAATATTACTGATAACAAAAATCTGTCGATACTAAACCTTAATGTAAGAAGTATAGCTAATAAGTTTGACTCGTTTAGGAATCTTCTAAGTACTTTGAAACAACCTTTTTCTATAATTAGCCTAACTGAAACTTGGCTAAATGACCAAAACAGTGAAAATTTCCGTCTTACTAATTTTGATTTTGTTTGCTCAAACAGAGCTAATAAAAAGGGCGGTGGAGTAGGAATTTTTATCTCAAATAATTTAAACTACAAACTACGAACTGACCTAAATATAAACGAAGACGAAATAGTTGAATCACTTTTCATTGAAATTATTTCAACAACTGGTAAAAATATAATTGTTGGTACTATCTACAGACCGCCAAGTGGTAATTTTGAAATGTTTGAAAATAAACTAAATGCAATACTAACCGAAGTTGACAAAACAGGGAAAATAACATATTTGACAGGGGATTTTAACATTGATCTTTTGAAATCTGATGATTGCGATTATTCCAATAGATTTTGTGAGCAACTTTTTACTTCATCTTTTTATCCGCTGATAAATAGACCAACTAGAATTACGCAGCATACAGCCACGTTAATTTAATTTAATTTAATTTAATTTAATTTAATTTAATTTAATTTAATTTAATTTAATAAGATTCGGCTACTATTTAAATGCAACATATAGAGCCAGGGAATTCGCCACAGGTTTCCCCAATTACGGCGATCCCATATAAACAAGAATAAAATTACTGTACAAAACAAATTTTCAAGCAACTCAGCAAGCTAAAACTAATAAGGCTAACAACAACTTATTTCATTGTTAAGCGATCTTGCTCTTTTGCACTTTACACACACTGATTTCCAGGTGCGCGGATCGTCACATTTGAATGTTTTGGATAGTGCATGTTTGTAGTAGAGTTTAAGACCTGATTTAAAAGACAGCAAACCTATATCTCTAGTACGCAAGTTACTATCTAATATGTTCCACGTTTTGCAAGTTCTTATAAAAAATGAGGTCTGGAATGTTACGGTTTTCGCATAAGGAATAACAAATCTAATTAGGTTTGCGTTGGATTCACTTCTTGTAATTCCTGATCCAGCCATGATCGGTAGAACACGTTCGTCAATGTACGTAAGACTGTTGATGATCTTGTAGAGGAACACCAGATCTAAGTATTCGTGCCAATATGAGACAGGTAATATGTCAAGCTGAAGGAGTCTTGTCTTGTAAGAAATGTCTGTGATAAACCCAAGATTCAATATGTATTTAGTTGCTCGTCTCTGCACTTTCTCAACGTCCTCAATAAGTTTCACTGACTGAGGACACCAGGCTTGGGTTGCATAGGAAAAGTTACTTCGCACTAGTTGAAGGTACAGAAGCCTTCTCGTGTTGGTATCCGTTATCTCCAAGGTAGAACGTCGGATTAACCCGAGCGTTTTGTTGGCTTTTGACCGAACTTTGTTGATCTGAACATTCCATAATAGTTTCGAACTGATCGTAATGCCCAGATCGGACTCTACATCAGAAGACAATAGTTGGTGATCGCCAAGTGCATATGCGTAAATTAAGGGAGACTTCCTTCTTGTGATAGACAACACTTTACACTTCGATTTGTTAAAGCTCAACATGTTCTCATTTGACCAACAATGGAGGCTTTGAATATCCGATTGCAATGCCAGTGCATCGTTACGATTTTGCACACATCTGTGCAGTTTGGTATCATCAGCATACAAACCGACCCCAGTAGAAATGGATATGTTATCGGGCAAATCGTTAATGTACACCGAGAAGAGGAAGGGAGCCAGCAATGAACCTTGTGGGACTCCGGATGTTATTGGTAAGGAAGTAGATGTCGCACCGTGAACAGTTACTCGTTGACAGCGACCTGATAGATAGTTTTCAAACCACAACAAAAGAGAGCCAGATAGACCGAAATCGCGAAGTTTTTGTAACAGTTTGGAGTGGTCAACGGTATCGAAAGCCTTGGAAATGTCCATGAAGACAACGTCTGTTTGTAGTCCTTTATCTAAGTCCTTCCCTATTTTGTGTAGTGTCGATAGTAATTGAGATGTGGTAGACCTTCCACTAATGAATCCATATTGTGCTGAGTGAACGCTTTCCTGTATGCGTAGATATAGGTGGTTTAGGACACAGCGTTCAAGAGTCTTGCTGACAATGCTTAACAAAGAAATGGGTCGGTAATTTTCCACGTGTTCTTTTACACCTTTCTTGTGTAGAGGGATGATGTTGGCTAGCTTCCATTCGGAGGGAATCTGTGATAAGCGGAGGGACTTTGTGAACAGGTAGTGTAGAGAAGGAGTTTTCATAGCCATGGGGTTTTAAAACCTGCTTATAATGTCAAAATCCTCACTGTGCACTTACTGTATATTTATTTTATAGCACTACAGGCTTTTATAGTATTATAGAGATATAAACAAATTTTCCCTGACAAACTTTGAGTGATATATATAGCCTTGCCAGCGGTTCTTGTAGCAGTTATATATAATGACTGTGTATAGTTATATTATTTATCACTTCTACGACTACAACAGGCAGGTGAAAATTAAATTGTTTTACTGAATATGCTGGGCCAATTAAAGGCCATTAAAGATATCAAGTTCAAACCATTCAAATGATTCAATACCCATTGCAATCAAGCAATGACCATAAACCTAAGCCCCAATGACAGACCCCAAATATAAGCCCTCCTGTGTAGAATTGCACCACAAGAAATTCTGAATACAAAGCCCTCTCCCAAATTTAACCCATTAAGCGCCAGCGCTCTCCCCTTGACGAGTAAAACTGTCTGGCGTTAGACAGAGTAAAATACCAAAGTAGGGTGCATCAGGGTGCAATGCAACTCAATGGGTTAAATCCCTCTGTGTGAGCCCATAAACTTATTTTTGGACAGGTATTTTTTAAATCAGCGAAGGGGATTCCAACAGCTCAGCCCATCAAAAATGCTATTGAATGAGTATAAGCATTGGGTCGTTCCAG